TTTCAGGACTTAAGTGAGAACCTTCAATGCAGAATTGAGTTAGATGCGCAGATTCCCGAGGACAGTAGTCAGCAGTATTGCTGAAAATAGCAGAGAAAAAATCACGTGTTCTAAAAATATATTTCTACTGTAACCTGAAAACTTCCCCAGTTGACAGTGGGCACAAACGGGGTGGTATTGAGCTTTAATTCAGGATTCATTGGGGTGTCTCCATTGGCTGATGCGGTACTCACTGTGTTTGCCCAATAAATACATCACATGTGAGAGGAGGTCACAAAAAGTATTTCCGGGGCCTCCAGGAAGTGAATTGCCTGTGTTTGTGTACAAGTTTTCGCCTCCTGGGTGCCACGACTCCATCAGGTGCGTGGCGGGAGCCCTGGGATGCTTGCCCTGTCAAAGCTGGGTGGAGCTTCGCGATGAAGTGAGGGTAGTGGAATGGAGAATTCTCTTTCGTGGATATTTTTTTTTCTTGGAGGAGATCCCAGATAGGGCTTCTGTGCCCTGATGTCTTAGTGGAAACAGCTCTTTGCTTTTCACTTGCATGCTCTCTCAAACCCCTTCTCCTCTGGAGGGTCAAAGGTTTGTGCTCCTCCCTCCTAGCAAGTTCTTCTGCAAGCTCCTCAGGCTGAGGAGGACTTCTGGTGGGTATACCCCATCAGTTCCTCAGTCAAGTCCAAATCTTGTCATCTCACTTTGACTCATGATGGGACACTGATATCCACCTATCTCACTGTCTCACTTCCTCCATCAACGGTTAAGTTGCATACTCCTGTTCATATCCCTCCTTCCCTTTTGTGAACCACCTTCTATAGGAACTCCACACTTCTAAACCTGTTTTTAAAAAAAGATTTTATTTATTTATTTGACAGAGAGAGAGAGCAGGAACAGGTGAGGGGCAAAGGGAGAGGGAGAAGCAGACTCTCCTCTGGGTGCAGAGCTGGACTCCTGAGCTCGATCTCAGGACTCAGAGATCATGACCTGAGCTGAAGGCAGACCCCTAACCAACTGAGCCACCCAGGTGTCCCAATTCTAAACTTTTCTAGTTTAGGGCACCTGGCTGGCTTAGTCAGTAGAGCAGGCAACTCTTGATCTCAGGGTTGTGAGTTTGAGCCCCATTGAACATAGAGATTACTAAAAAAATACAACAAATAAATATTTTTAGTTGAATGACTTCATTCTGTCCCCCAAGCAGCACAACTTTAAGCTTACCAAGGGCAGGGATCTTCCTTTAAAAATCTTGTGTCTTCTTCTACCACAGGAGCCGAGGGTTCTGTTGGTATCTGCTTGACTGAATAGGACATGTACAGGCAGCTTCTCTTAATGATAAACAAATAACCCCTCTCTCCCCCACAAAATGAAAAATAGTAGACTTCCAAATAAATAACCAAAATTTCCAAACTCCAACCTTTTTTTTTTTTCAGATTAAGTAATCTCTACACCCAACGTGGGGCTCAAACTTACAACCCTGAAATCAAGATCCTGGGACCATGAGATGGATCCCTACAATGCTTCTGTCCTCAGCGAGGAGTCTGCTTGTCCCCCTTGCTCCCCCTCTGCCCCACCCCCTCTTCTCGAGGGTGCACTCTCTCTCATATAAATACATACATACATAAAACCTTTTAAAAAAATTTAAAGAAGAGTCACATGCTCTATCAGCTGAGCCAGCTAGGCGCCCCCCATCTTCCATCTTCCACATGGAGGTGACACAGAGTAAGACACAACAAAAGTATATTTAAACCATTCGGAAAGTCTTAATAGACTTTATTTATTTGATCTGGTGAATTCCTTTGTCACAAACCAAGTCTTTATTTGCACACATCCTGCAGAGAGCTGCTGTGTGCAATATTGCACATACTCTACACTCAAGTTCACATGGGCTAGTTGATTGTTGTTTTAACAATGAGCAAGGGCCAATGAGACCAAGATCAGAAGGTTGGCTCTCCCCTGGGTCAGTTCCCTTCATGGAGAGAAACTCTTCCACAGTCAAAGCTAGGCCCTATTTAACCTCTGCCCTCCACCCTCTAATTAATCATCTGACCAATATATTAATTTAGCTGAAGGGACAACTGCATAATTTCTAACAAAATGTTTGTGCCTGAATCATGTATACTTTGTTCCAACTGACCCTATTGTCTTTAACAATGAAGAGCATTTTTCATCTTATTTGAGTATCAGTGGAATAATCAAAACATACTATAATAATTGAAGAATATGAAAAAACAGTTTGAATGAAAGGGTTGTCTCAACTAATATTTATTAGGTACCTACTGTTTGTGCTAGGTACCCATTATACATGTCACATTGAGCAATGACTTAACCAGAGATTTAAGAAGAGAGGGAGGTAGGGTACTTGGGTAGCTCAGTTGGTTGAACATCTGAGTCTGAGTGACAGGCAAAGTCAAAATAGCAAGGTAAAGATATTGTGCAATCATAGATTTGGACATTGTCCGATTTCAGAGAATGCTGTTAGTCATCTTCATTTAACTAGTTATGTTTTTTCTACCAAGTTTTATACTATCAGTTTTTATTGTATTGTCACTACTTTCATCAGAAGTTTTATGAGGCGGGGCACCTGGGTGGCTCAGTTGTTAAGCATCTGCCTTCAGCTCAGGTCATGGTCCCAGGGTCTGGGATCGAGCCCCCCACACTGGGTTCCCTGCTCGGCGGGAAGCCTGCTTCTCCCTCTCCCACTCTCTCTGCTCATGTTCCTGCTCTCGCTATCTCTCTCTCTGTGTCAAATAAATAAAATCTTTAAAAAAAAAAAAGAAGTTTTATGAGGCAGAAACCTTTACTAAAGTCAATGTCATCAAAGAAACCAGGTGAATTAGAACTGAAGAGCTCCCATGAGATCAAAGGATTTAACTTTTTGTGGGTTTTATGAAAATTGAAGACTAAAGAAAAAATAGGAATTTTCAATATGATAGAGTTTTTAAATGATAAAAGTAATAGACTATTAGATAAAGTTTAGGAAAAAAAGAAGAGATGTATTATATAAAGGGTCCAGCATACACCACTGTGGCATAAAAATTATTTTGAGCAGAGGCATTTGACGTCCCCAAATAACTCAATTGTCATAAAGCCCTTCCTGGAAAGCAACCAGACAAGATTGACTCCTCACCAGAGGCGAGAAGTCTACACACCACACCTAAAGAGACAACAGTCACATCTATTCTTTTAAGGGCCGATCTTTCTAAAAAGTCATTTGTTTTCCCATAGTGGCCTTTCTTCCCTTCCCCTTCCTTTATTAAGATGATACATAAACCCAAAGTTCTAACCATCTCTTTCAGTCACATTTTTCTCTGAACTCCTCTATAAATGTTAATACAAATACGTAATTAAATTTGTTATTTTTTCTTACTAATCTGTCTCTAGTAAGTTTAATTCGCAGAGCCTCAGAACTGAACCTAAGAGGATAGAGAGAAAGTTTTCTCTCCCTAACATACCATCAGCTCACCATCAGCACATCATCACATCATAAACTCAGTTTTGGCTTAACACAACTATTTCAATTTTTCATATTTTCTTCAGTTTTCTCAGCTGCATTTACTTTTTATTAATTATAATCATTGTTAATATTATAAGCACCCAGTCATGATGCAACATAATCCTCCAAATTATGATTTCCCGATGACTGCAAAATATTTCAGTGAGATGATATATAAGAAGTTCCTTAACTAGCCTCTTACCATTGGATATTTGCTTCTGATTTTTTAAAAATTATAAATAATTTTGAAAAAAAATGTTGAGCATAAAGCTTTTCTCCTTTCAAAATTACTTCCATGGGTTATCTCTGACTGCTGTGGCCTTCGAAAAGGGAATGTTGACTTAAATATCCATCTCCGACGGATGACAATTAGTAGTAAAGTAACACAAAATATGTGACATTGTTATAAATTAAATGCCTAAAGTCTCAGGTAAAAGTCATAAAGGCCATGAAAAAACTTAAAAGGCATTTAGTATTTAGTGTCTGGAAGATGTGCAGACGTGATGAGAATTTATTCACTAAGAGGAATTACTTGAACTAGAATTAGAGACCCGGAGAAAGGTCCCTCGGCCTTTTTTTTTCTTCCCCCCACAAAACAAACAAAAAATAGTGGTGGATTCATTGAGCAACAAGTCTGTGGAAGCTTGGACAAAAGAGTTTAAGTGAAAATGGCCAATCTGAAAGAATAATTGCTGGTGAAAGTTATCAACTTTTCATTCGGTTTTCATTAGCTTTCACTTGGAGGGAAGGATCAACTATTAGACAGAAAGCAATTGGTGCTCACAGTTATCTGCCTCCCAAAAGAACAATCAAGTTCGCTGAACCTTTTCTCCCAGCGATTTCCTTGCATTTAGCCATTTGTCCTTCATTAGGGGAGCCCAGGTACCAATTATTCTCACAGGCAATTGATTATGAGATTTCAAAAATGCAGCAACAACAAAGAAATGTTTGCTTTGATGAACCACAAGCTATTCATCTTTAAAAGAGAGGGAAAAAACCAACCAAACCACATTACAGCTCCATTTAGAACTTTTCCCCTACCTTGTCATCTAAGGAGGGCAAAATCAATTTTCATTTGAGAGCACCATTTCCTCCTACCAGTTTTCTCTAAGTGGCCTTTCCACAAATGATGTTTGATTATTTCTGAGTCACAACTACTTAAAGTCCACATTTATGAGCTGTAATTTCCTAGGTAAAAGCTGAGGGAATTACTGAAAGTTCTCTGTGCCCTCCCCCTCTCCCCCCAGCAACATCCTCATGTTCTCTCTTTTGGTGTTTGAGGTTTTAATCGGCAGCTGTAGCAAGCCCGGGAATGACCTTCCCTAAACGCTCTGACAGGACTAAAAATATGAATCTGCACACAGAGCTTTCCCTAAACTATCAGGAGTCCTTTTTCTTGTTTGCCAGCTGGTAGTTTGTCAAAGTACTGTTTTGTAAATAAATCACCTGCAGAAAATCCTCATCAGGTCAGCTGCAAATGTGTCAGTCTAAGGAAAACAAACAAGAAAGCACTTACCAGTTAATTTACTTTGAGGAGAGAAGCTATTTTGATGCCTGCGTGTGACCTCCCGGCTCCAGAATGAAATGAAGGGTGGTTTTCAGAACCGCTACGTTGGACACTTTTTCCCAGCCTCCTCATTTGGCTTTTAATCTGGCTTTTGAAATGACACTGTAGAAGGAGAGTGATGTTGGGTTTCGTTTGAATGTGGTTCTTCCCTTCCTCTACCACCCTCCATAAAAATTCATCATGTATTCCAGGAGAAAAGTAAGCAATGAACATACTGCACAAATTAATTCTTTTGCTCAGCGTGTATGTGCGTATAACTGAGGTTTGTGTTTTGAATGGAAATCTTTGCTATTGGCTGCAGTACTGCAGGCTGAAAAGTGAAGGGGGGGCACTGATCCTTCCTTTGTTTGGTCGGCTTTTGCTTATGAAAAGTCAAGTTAAATTTCTTTCCAACGAGGGAATGAAAAGAACCTTAGAATGTCAAAGGAGAGCTCTTCAATTGCACAGCAAACTCTGTGGGGCTCATTAGGAGAGAGATTTCACTCACTGGATTTCAGTGTGTTTCTGAGAGTAAAGAATGGTAATCACACATTAATTATGTGTTTTAGTTTTCATTTCTTTGCCTAGGTAGGTTGAGAGAGAACTCTCTAGGATCTGAGGCAATTAAAGGATCGATTTTTTTTTTAATCCCTCATCTCCTTCTGGGGTTCTGGCAGATGTGAGCACATCTGTGCATCTGAGGCAGGGCTCAGAATTCAGAAATTCACAGGATGAGAAACATGGAGGCTGAAGGTAAACAAGCCTTGATGTGGTTAGCTTCTCACTGCAGAGCTAACTTGATTTTTGTAAGCTCTAACATCAGCTCTATCATGTGATATTGGAAATTGAACATTATTAGGTCATAAAACATTGTTAGGCCGGCTAATTGAACATCGTTAGGTGAGCTGCCAGAGAAGCAAACGATTTTGTATTTGACTGGAGGGTAGCTGAATATGCCACCCCAAAATATGTCTCCGACATAACGATTATTTTGAGCTGATTATTTCTAAGAAACTGCAGACACAGAACAAGCTCTGAAAACAGAATAGAAGTTACCCTTTTGTGAGGGAAATCTATATTTATACAGGGAATTTACATTAGAAAGGGGGCCTGTATCAGGAAGGGAGCTATTACCAGAGATGACTTTTTCACCTGGGACAGTTAGCTGCTTGGCCAGGCAACCTTTGTTTACCAAACATTTCCTCTTTTCACCTTCCCGTGAATTGCCTTCCGGTGAATGGCCTTCCCGTGCTTTTAGCCCCAGGCCCCTATCACTTTCCTTAGTTCTGGATGGTACGTAATCCTCCATCTTCTGGGCTTCTGAGTCTCATATTCTAGTGGGGCTCCTGTACTTATGTAATTAAAATAGGTTTTTTCCCCTCCTCCTGTCAATCTTTTGCTGTTGTTGTTTAACAGGAGGGGGTCTTAGCCAAGAACAGAGAAAGGTAGAGGGAAAATTATTTTCCTCCCCTACAAGACCAAATCTAGAAAATCTAAAGCAGTCATCCTCGTGTGGGGGTGGGGTGGGCTGGGGTGGGAGCATATCAGAATAACCCCGGGGGATCGTGTGCCCACACCTTTTCAAAATACAAATATCCCTCAGCCCCATAAGGACGTACACTCTCCTGCATTCGCCCCCTAGCCCTTGACTCCACAGAAAATAACCACAATTAACAATCTTTGCATATTTCTTTTCAGTATTATCTGAGTATTATCTGAGCATAGAGATGGTCATTGAAGGAGGTAGTAGCAGAGTGCTCTGTGGGAGACTCCCGTCTGCTCACCAGTTCCTACTCCTTTGCAACAGCAATATTACTATTTGTTAATAATTATATGTAATCGGGGCGCCTGGGTGGCCCAGTTGTTAAGCATCTGCCTTTGGCTCAGGTCATGGTCCCAGGGTCCTAGGGTCCTGGGATCGAGCCCCGCATCATGCTCCCTGCTCAGCGGGAAGCCTGCTTCTCCCTCTCCCACTCCCCCTGCTTGTATTCCCTCTCTCGCTGTGTCTCTCTCTGTCAAATAAATAAATAAAATCTTAAAAAAATAATCATATGTAATCTTCTGTAATCACACCAAAGCACAGTTTCATCCACAAAGATATTTTGAGGAGAATTTCAGGAAGTTCGGGTTACTTTACATAGTTTTGACTTAATTTTTGGTGGTAGAGCAGGAAGCATTGAGTAGCAAGGGGGAGAGAAAGAAGACAGGAGAAATGACAGCAAGCATTTACTATGTACCAAGTGTAGTTTAAGCATTGAAACCCAGGGCATTTTTTAAAAAAGATTTTATTTTGGGGGCGCCTGGGTGGCTCAGTTGGTTAGGCATCTGCCTCTGGCTTGGGTCATGATCCCAGGGTCCTGGGATCGAGTCCCACATCGGGTTCCCTGATGGGTGGGAAGTCTGCTTCTCCCTCTCCCCCTGCCCCTCTCCCTGCTTGTGTTTGCTTGCTCTCTCTCCCTCAAATAAATAAATAAATAAATAAATAAATAAATAAATAAAATCTCTTAAAAAAAGATTTTATGGGCGCCTGGGTGGCTCAGATGGTTGAGCGTCTGCCTTTGGCTCAGGTCATGATCCCAGAGTCCTGGGATCGAGTCCCGCATCGGGCTCCCTGCTCCTTGGGGGCCTGCTTCTCCCTCTGCCTCTCTCTCTCTCTCTGTCTCTCATGAATAAATAAATAAAATCTTTCAAAAAAAAATAAAAAAGAAAGCCTCTACTGTAAGTTGCATTGTTGTTCAATCCTGGGCATTCTGACTCCAAACATCATGCTCTTAAGAGACTTGACCATTAGAAGGGAACCTGGCTGGTTCAGTCGGTAGATTATGTGACTCTTGATGTCAAGGTAACAGTATGGCTCTCTCTAAAAGTAGCTTTTTGGGGAGCCTGGGTGGCTCAGTCGGTTAAGCATCTGCCTTTGGCTCAGGTCATGATCCCAGGGTCCTGGGATCCAGCTCCGCGTCTGACTCCCTGCTCAGTGGGGAGTCTGCTTCTCCCTCTGCCCCTCCCCACCGCTCAGGTGTGTGCTCTCTCTCTCTCAAATAAATAAATAAAATCTTAAAAGTAAAACAAAATAAAAGTAGCTTTTCTTCACTGATGCTTGAAATTTCACTGTTAGGGAGTTGTTCTTTGGAAAAGATGACATTTTAAAAGAAAAGCTTTGGGGTGCCTGGGTGGCTCAGTTGAGTGTCTGCCTTCTGCTCAGGTCATGATCCCATGAGTCATGGGTCGGACTTCCTGTCGGGAGGAGAGTCTGCTTCTCCCTCTCCCACTGCCCTTCTATCCCCCAGCTTGTGCTCTCTCTCTCTCACTCACTCTCAAATAAATAAAATCTTTTTAAAAATTTAAAAAAAGGAAAACTTTGTATTAATCTAGTGAAGCTCTAATAGTTAGAATGGATTGGGCAGTTTTAAGATAGTCATCCCCTCTTCCCACCTCAACCCCACGAGAAAAAAAATTGGGATCAGCAGCTTAGTCTCCCCTGTTTTGATATGATCAAAATCATTATTCTTTTCCTTTCCTGTTTGTTGCTAAAATAGCTTACTTGCCCCAAACACCTGAATACTCCTGATGATGGAACTTTTAGAAAGAGACATTTGGGAAACCACAGGTCACATTGATTTTTATTAATGATCATTTCTAATCTTTTTGCTATCACTTGTTTATTTAAAAGAAAAAAGAAAAAGAAGAATTCAGCCTAGAACACTGGAAAAGAGATAATATGCAAGCAGACATTTTCTTATTCAAGAAGCTGATGTGCGAACAATGGGAAAACTTCACTTCTTTTCATTTTTTTTCCCCTCTTGTCGTACAGGGAGACTACAGTTGCTTTGTGGAAGTGCCTTTCTTAGGCCAGTCTCTTCAGGGTCAGAGATTAAACTCTGGGGCTTTATTGGGTTGAACGGTGAGGCTGGAACCATGCAAAGCTTTTCCTAGACACTGAAAAGGACTCCCAGGCGCAGACTGGGTGGCTCTAGGAGGTCGTAGGGAGGAGCCAGGCTCACCAGCCCGGACAGGGCAGCTTGCCTGCCACTTAAAGCAGACAATTCTGAAAGGCCATTGAGGACAAAGCCCTTCTCCAAATTCTTGCTTTTAATTCTCTATGGCCCCTGCAAGCCTTGAGGATGCTCAGGAAGTCTTTTAGAGGATTTAGCTATACATCTTTTTAATTAAAACACACAAAGCTCTAATTACCTGCGGAAATGTGGGGAACGGCTTCCATTGTTATCTCTAATGTGAATGAACCTTCTCTTTTAATATGGCAAATGCCACATCAAATGAGAGCTCATCAGAAGGATTTAGACTGGTTTTCTTAACTACAAATCTCGGATGCTCAGGGCCTGAAAGCTTTTGGAGGGCAGAGCAAACACCTTTCCAAAGGTACCTGTGTCCTGCAGCTGCAGGGAGGCAAGTGGGCCAAGGCAGGGCTCTGTGCTCTCAATCATCTTTATGGTTCCTAATTTCTCTGCCAGAACTGGTCGCAGCACCTCTAATTCTTGGAAGAAGTATTTCCTCTTTTTGTAACCAAGGGAAGTAAATAACCTTTTAACTTATTGCCCTGGAAAAAGAAATGTGGTTTGCCAGTGGTTAACTAAATCTGTTGTATATCACTTAGTCAACAGGCATCTGGGTGACACCATCCTTGGTACTCATTCAAGAGAAAGGACCGCTCTGGGAATTCAGGCCGCTCCCAGCTATCTACTCTAATTACGCTACTTTGCTCGTTAAACTGCTGATTATGGGTATGATGTAAGTACATCTGTATTTTTCTAAAATGTCACATTTTTGGGAAAGGCAAAGGATCAGAGAATAAAGCATATTTTCTCGACTTCTGTAACTGGTTCAATCCCTATTTGCATTTTTCATTAGGAAATTGGTAGCCCAGGGGCGTACTGCAGCTGGAGACGTGTTTTGTTTGCGCTGCACAGTGTTTTCTAGAGTTTGAATTAATTTCCATCATTTAAAAATCAGGAGATCTTACACAGCCATCCTGATTATCATCTCCTCATGAAAAAATGGACAGATCTGGGTAACAATGGGCCCGCGTCCCGAAAGGATGCAGTTGCAGGAG